GATCACGTGATACGACTACGTACATACGATGATCACCTGATAGGATAACTATATACATATACGATGATCACGTGATATGATGACTATATACATAGAATGATCAAGTGATAGGATGTCTTTGTTCATGTGATAGGATGTCTACGATATATTATGATCACATGATACAAGTTTTTACTTGGCAATAATTATACCCACTTGCACGTGGATCACGTGACCGGAAGTAGAAATAGAAAGCAAATATTTCATTCACATATATCAACCTCGTTTATCATCAATATAAGCAAYGTATGCATAAGGCATTTGCTAAAAAGAAATAGATCACGTATAGTATAAAACTAGATTTCAATCACGATATGATAACATTACTTGATTAAACACCGGGTCCTGGATAAACGCCGGGTTAACAAGGTCCAGTTTTTWAAAAAAACACTTTGGTTGCGTTTATTTTGAGGTCACGGCGTTTATTGGAAATCACCATCAATAGGTCAATAGTTAACAAATAAAACAGCTTTTTCCGTGCTCCGTTCAGTAATAAAGCACGCAGGAAGTGACGTAAGCACGAAGGAAGTGTAAGGATAAACACGAGCCAAGGGCGAGTGCTTCTCGAACTTCTTGAGTGCTTATGGCGCTTCCTAAGTGCTTTATTACTGAACGGAGCACGGAAAAAGCTGGTTTATTCGTTTTATTATATAGTTACTAATTCTTTGTTGGTATTGAATTTATTTATGCAAAAAGAAAAATGGACGCAGGATCTAGCAGCACTTCGCGCGCGCAGATGGCGTCAGCACTGTGCTCCGTTCACTAATAAAGCACAGTTTTCGACCAATCAGCGCGCGCGTACTGATCCCAACTATATAATAACTACAAATAAGCTACATCGACGTAAACATCTACATCCAATTTTGCATTTATATATGTACCGTTGTTTAAACTATGATATTATAATTCGTTGTTAAATAAAATGTTCAAGCAATAAAGGCTCAGAAAAGCCCTAAAAAGGCTTCATAAACAAACACTGGGTCCTGAATAAACCCAGGGTTCAAATAAACACCGGGTCACAACGTCGGTTCAGTTTTAAATAAATTCCGGTGGCGTTTAAGATACACCAAGCTAGTTCAAAAAATTTTGTTGGGTTCTKGCCTCCCCCGTCGTAGTCTCTTTGCTCTTTTCCTATACTGGCCTTCCTGTGTTGGCTGAGAGTTGACCGAGCGGGACTAGTATCCATCCCTCTCGAACAGCAACAAAAACCAAATTAATTAACGAAAACCTTAGCGATTAGCCTGCGGAGGCTAGTTAAGCTGACACGAGTGAAAAACGTCTGCGCATGCTCTGAATCCGCATGCAAATTACTCAAAACATGTAAATTTGACTTTCAAACATGCCTGATAAATTGGACTTCAAAAAATGCCAAAACTTAGTGTCCATGCTTGAAACTTAAGACTAATTCTTTCATATTGTGTTTGTTAATACAGTATCTTGGTCTGACAAAAGTATACTCTCGAACTTTTTTGTATACTTGGAGAAAACAAACATTTATTTTCTCACTCAAACTCTTCAAAATTCTTTGAAAACGTGCTGAAGTGCACGCATGCGCAAACGTTTTTCCCTGATGTCAGTTGGGCTCAAAGGTTGATCATCAAAGCTAAGACTGAGGGGTATTCTGGGTAGTCGATATTCTTGAGCGTTTGGAGAGTTTTTTTTATACAGAAACATGTTTAAAGGATGACTAAATGCTACTATGTTTGGTAAAGAATAAAAAAAATAAAAAAAGAATATGTTTGGTAACTCCAATCTATCAGTGTTCGACAGCTGCAAAACGTCAATATGTATAAATAAATATTAGCCTCAATTAATGTTTACCCTGAATACTTTACTTCAATGGTTTTGCACAGCATCATAAGAGAGAGAAAAAGCTATGGGAAAACCTGAAACAGGAAATAGCTTCCCTTACAAAGCAGGTTACCCAATACAAAATGAGAGCCTAAAAGCTTAGCTCCAATTAAACCTATTCCGAACCCGACGACTTTCGAATTTGGTACATCTCTCTTAGAAGATGTTATGGTGTTTTGAAGGATAAAAAAAACAAACAAAAAGTACTAGCCGTACTATCTCAATAGCTTCATCATCAATCCCTCTTATYTCGAACAGGTTGAACACTAGAGGTGTGCTGAAGTRCTCTTTGTGATGCTAARATCTACAGTTGCAAGCGCCTGAGWATAAACAACAACAACTTTCATCATCTTCTGAGTCAGACTTCAATGAAAGTAAAGCTTTCCGATGACAAAGAATATTTAATTATTATCTCAAAGTAGAAATATAAATAAAAGAAATATAAATTTAAGTCTTTCCGAAGATAAAAAAAATCTCCAGTGAAGTTTGGTTAATAGTTTGCACCAAAAGTTAATTAGAAAGTTTACTTTTTTCGTCAATCCATGATCAATCTTAATAATGTTGATTTGAGTACGCTGCCGGCAATAGAAATAATATTTGCTGAAATAGCGGTAGCTATCAGCAATCAATGATATAGTGCAGAGGGAAAACAATACGTTGGGGCAATCGAATAGTAATTCAATATTTGTTAAATAATACACTGATGCCAGAAAACTCTTCCATCTTCGGCTTTCTTTGAGATTGTAAGTGTTTAAAAATAGTTCTTGATGCTTGGACTACTTGTGGTTCTCCATGGTGGATAAAGAAAAAATCATAACAAGTGCAATAAACTTTATTATTTATTCGTCATCTTAGTGTTAAGAGCAGTGTTAGCACTAAGCTTAAATCTAACCGCACTAAGATCGTTTCTTTAGTTCTTCATATTCTGCCGATATGGCGATAATCTCTGCAATAGCGCTCATTTTTGTTCAGTTTGTCGCGTCTGAAGAAGCTTTTCGT